TATATATATATATATATATATATAATTGAAGAGTAGCAAAAAGAGCCGAACATGAACGAGCAAATCTTTATTCGTGTTCGGCTCGTTAACTTAGAGAACAAGCCAAAAAAGAGCTTTTTAATGAGCCGAACATGAGCTGCTTGCGAATAACGAGTCGTTTTGACAACCCTAGCTATCACCCACTAAATTTTAAGTGGTGTGAAAATATTATTTGCAGACAATTCTAATCTGCAATATTATTTTGTTGAATTTTAAGATTTAAAAAAACCCCTTCTTAAAGTCAGACCTTAAGCAAAGTTGTAATATCCAATAAATGTATAATAAAAAAAGATTCATGTAATGGGAATGATGTCAAATCATGGACAATTGATTATAAATAAAATATGATTGAGTTATTATCCCACTTTTATAAATCTTAGTTCATGTAGGCTTGAATAACACACATTTCAAGGAATTTAATATATGAACATTTGAAGTGGTGTTGTTGCTTGGGCAATTACATAGCACACAAATTATTATGGATTTATATTTCTAACATCCATACTTTCATGTTTCAAACATGTCAAATCTTTAATATTATATCAAAAAAAAAAAATACTATCATTTTTTAAAAATAAAATATAGCAAGCATGCAACTTTCCTAATAAAACATGAAAATTATATATATATATATATATTAGGTGGCATGGATTTAAATGCCCCTAAGAAGTAGACTAAACACAAATTTATCTCTATGATGGTTTATTAAAAATAAAATTGTTTTATATATATATTTGTGGATGAAAGCGGCGGGATGGATCTTCTAAGAGAAGCCGAGAGGCAGCTGTTCACAACCAGTCAGAACGTGTAAGTATAATATTTTATTGCCCTTTTTTTTAATATATTTAGTTTGATTTTTAATATTTTTTGTCATTCATATTTTTCTTTTAATTACTGCATTAATTATGTCCGTTTGAGGCCGTTTATAAGCGGCGGCGGCATTTTTGAAAATGCTGTTTAACTATTTGAGTTGTGCGTTTTTAAAAACACTGACTGTCGTGTTTGAGATTTTTACACAAAACGCAGGCCACGGGTCAACCCCACAGTGGACCCGCGGGCCGCATTTCAGGATAAGCTATAAACACCCCGACTTCATTTTGAAATTATGCCAATTAGATTTTTTAATATTATTATAAAATATGTGGTTCATATTTTTGGTTTTATTTTTTAGGATTTTCAATCTATCACGAAAGAGAGAGAAAGTTATCTCTAACCTGCAAATTGGCCCTACAATTGGAGAAATTATTCCGTAAGGATCGGGCACGCTCGCAGCTTGCGAGCGGTGCCCGATCCGGACCGTAGATCACTGGTCGCAATGTATTTCGGTGGGCCCTACCGAATTTTTTTTTTTAATAAAAAAACAGAAATAATCCTGACCGCAGGCCAGGATCGGACACCGCATGCAGAGATGCATGACTGAGACGGATTTTTTGCTTAAAAGAATTGTAAGGCTAACAGGAAATTCATGTCATTTTCAACATCAAATTGGGACAACTTTATTTTTTGTGGAAAAAAATGAAAGGCTAGGAGAAGGATTCATCTCACTTTTGTTAAGATGGAGAGATCAAGTTGAGACAGATTTTATTGGACCGCTACCGCACGCTATGACGATATACATTTATTAGTGACATAGTAGTTTAGGGTCTAGTTTGAATTCGATTTGTGCATATTACCCTTTAAGTTCACCTTTCAAAAAATAAAAAAATAAATAAATAAATAAAATAAAATAATCAAATTTGATTTATAAGATAAAAATATAGGGATAATTTAATTTCACTCCAAAGGTATAATGTCTTTTATTTACTTGAATATAGATAAATTGGTCTCTCAATTTTAGATTTTTTTTTTTATTGAGTGAATATAAGTCTTTTAATTAGAAGAATGTATACATACATACATACATATACAATGTATATACTTCAAATAAGTTCAATTTTCCCCCACCACAAATTGATTATTGAGGAAGCTACTCATGAATATACGTTATATTGCAGAAAAGAAGGGACAGAATCAACCAAAAGATGAAGGCTCTTCAAAAACTTCTTCCCAAATCCAACAAGGTATCAAAATTTTCTTCTGCAAAGCATTTTAACCAACCAAACCTATCATACCATCACATCTGCAATGCTTCAACTTCACCATTCCTAAAACTCTCATATATTTTTTTTTTTTTCTCACACCGAGAAGACCGATAAGGCGTCGATGCTCGACGAGGTGATCGAGTATCTAAAGTTGTTGCAGGCTCAGGTTCAGATGATGAGCAGGATGAGCTCTATTCCAACGATGATGCTACCCATCGCCATGCAACATCAACAACTTCAACTGTCGATGATGGCCCACTTGACCCAACTATCACGAATGAGCTTGGGCCTAGGCATTATGGACCCAAGCTTGCTGAACCCGGTGCCTTCAACGCCAATTCTCCACCCTTCCAACTTCCTCCTTCCATCCGCATTGACCAGTGCTTCGGATGCATTGACAACCCAAATAATGCAGGAGCCACACCGTTGGGTCCTCCCAGACATGATCCCGGCTTTTATGGGTTGTCCAACACAGGTATGGAACTCCACACCCCATGTTTCAAATGATTCTGGTTTTACAAATTAGATTGGACAAGCCAGTTCGACTGCAAACTCATCATTCGACCATTTTGGTCAAAAGCTCAAAACTGTTTATGCATAGAACTGGTCAAAATCAGGATTGAACCGACAAGCAAATTCAATTTTATAGAACCGATTAATTCTAATATTGTCTAATCTTAGCTTTTTGATTTTGATGGGATGAGTAAAAATAAGATATTTAAATTAAAAAAAGAAGAAAATATCATCTCAAAATTTTAATTTAAAATATTATTCAAATTATTCAAAATTAAAATTTATTAAATTAAATTAAAATAATTTTAATATTTATTATGCCATCCTATTTAACATTGAACTAAGTTGGGGTGTATGATATTTACTCCAGCAGCAACCAATAAGCTTAGAGGCATACAACAGGTTGGCTGCATTGTACCAGCAGCTGTATCAGCAACCTCTTGGATCCAATCAGAAGACTTGATACTTCATTAATAGTATGTGCTTCTATGTTAAAGTTGTTTGTTTGGGTTACAATTCCACTTGGGCTTCATCTGGCTTTTAGAAATTAAGTTTAGAAAAACAATTATGTAATGACATGCCATTTATTTGGTACTATCACCTTGGATGTAATTAGAAATGAGACTCATGTGTAATGATTTTGTTTTAATGAAAAAAAGAGAATAAAATCATTATTACTTCTTAAAACATATTTCTTATTCACAAACAATCAAATATGTCCCAAGTTAAATGTTGTGAACTATAAATATTTGTATTTGTAATATGTTTGTAATGTTTGACATTGTTGTTTTATTTATATTAACTTCTATAAATAATTAAACAGTCCATAATTAACTTGATGAATTATGTCGCGCATGAGGCCTATTCTATATTTGTAGTGCAACTATGTTGTAATTTTAGAGGGCTGGAAAATATGCTCATCTTCTCACAGTAAACATCAGAACTTGGTTCAAATGGAACGATAAGCACAGAAAAACAATGTATACAAAACAGAAAAAAAAAATAATATATTATATATTTATTGAAATAATCTTAACATTCAACAATCAAAATATGTAACATTATAAATTTTATTATGGAATATTGAATGAAATGTGTCTTAAAATGTTATTAAATGAACAAAAAAAAGGTAAAAGAAACAGAGAATATTACGAGTGGGATCTTCAAGGCAAACTTTGCAATGCATCACCCACAGTACTCAAGAGTATAAGAATTTGGAAGTTCAGACAAAGGAACTAACTGCATTAGAAAGCTTTATCCAAGCCTCGAGTGTGCCGATGGCTTTCCCCGATCGATGCGTCTCTTGAGCGAGTGCCATGCCATCTTGAAAGCTGTCAGCAAGGCCACTTACTAGAAGAGCAGCAGCTGCGTTTAAGACCTGCAAGTTGCAGGCAAAATTTTAAGGAAGATTTACGTGCATACCACTTAATTCCTATGTATTTACATATCTAAAACCTGAGTATTAATTTTTACATTTATCCCACCTACATATGCATGAAAAGATGAATTTCACTTTTTAAAAGTTAAATTAGTGGTTTTTCTGATGTGGTATGAAAGATTTGAGGGGTATAAATGGGAAAAAAGTGAAGTTAATGTGTTAGGTCTGTGAATACATATAAATTGCGAACATAATAATCAGAGTTTGACAGCCACTAATATGACACGGTATAAGAATCCATGAAATAGATCTACACACAAGCCAGAAAATACTCTTCAGAAAAAAAGCAAATAATTGAGCTTAGACGATGGAACACAATTTGTTTTATATATTGGTGAAGTGGATCTTACAAAATTAAAATATTTTTAATTATCTTTTAATCAAATAAATTAAAACCTACTTATTGGATCAATGATTTTTAGAAAATTTAGGGTCTATTTGAAGCAGCTGTAACTGTTTGAAAAAAAAGCTAAGAAGATGTTGCAAAAAAAAGTGTTATTCATAAAATTGCGGTGATTATTACAAATTTATTTTATTTTCAAAAACTCAGACAATAGCTTTCTACAGTTACCATGCTTTAATAACGCAAATTGAAAAAAAATAGCTTTCTACAACAGAAATTTCTCAAAAATAGCTAATAGAACCATGGGGCGATCTGAAAACCAAAGTAGACAGAAAGCTGTCCCAAACAGACCCTTAGTTTCAAATGACCTTCTACAACCAATCTTTATAATCTTTAGATACCATAGTGGCTACATACCCACGACGCATGACACCTCCAAATACCTGTCTAAGTATATGAGAAATATCAATCTATTAAAAAATATATGAGAAATATCAATCTATTAAAAAATATTTTACTTCATTATTCATTTGCCTTACAAAATTCAAGTAAAATGATCTGATATTGCCTAAAATGATTGATTTTTTCATTAGTCATGTTTATTTTTGCTTTTATCGTCATGGAGTCTCTCTTATGATGGTATACTTCAAGCCTGTGATGTTTTTAATAGAAACTAATAAAAATTATATATATATATATATATAGTTAATAATTTATAAAATATAATATTATTTTCATAGCATATTTCGTCCTAATTTTTTGTAACTATATTGTGTCACCATGTCCACATCATACTATTTTGTGCTTCAAAGCGGAGTTGAAAGCACACACTTATAACATCTTAGCTACTAAATTGTATGCAATACCTCAGTATGAATTCCCTAAATTAAATAGTTACTATCTCAACTGCCGCCTTAAACACTAGAGAATAAAAGTTTTTTTGGAAATTTACATGCAGACTGCACAATTCTTATGAATTTACATATCCAACACTCCCAAGGTTTAATATTTACACTTATAACACTTTGTCGTCTTTCACTTTTAAGAAGATAGTGACAATGGTATTTTTTATGTGATGTTAAAGATTTGAGTAGTATGCATTTAATTATGAATGCTTAAATGTTAGATATATAAATACATAAGAATTCTGTGTTACGTATGTAAATTGCCCCAAAATTTTTATGCATAATGATATCTAGAGCTTGACAGCAATTTGTTATCAAGATTCATAATTAAGAAGGGAAGATTTACTTACAAGAGCATCAGCAACTGGTCCCTTCTCACCAGAAAGCACATTCCTAAGTACATCTGCATTAAACTTTGGTTCACCTCCTTTAAGGTTATTGAGAGAGCAACGAGGAATTCCAAAATCCACTACAGCATAAAGATAAACAAGTTCGGACTTTAAAATAATGTTCAGGAATATGATAAAAACTATATAGGAGATGAGTAAAGCGTATAACATATTCATTTTTTACAAAAATCACCCGCATAAAAAATATATATATGAAGCTGACAACACGAAACCAGAGCTCCACAAAAATTAACAAATAGGATGCTTACATGGATCAAAGTTCAACCTTTCAATCTTCTCTTGCGTAACATCAAGAAGATAGCCAGATCCTGACATAAATATAAAAGATATGGATTATAGAGGGATAATTTAACTATATATAAAATGATAAATTTAACAGATTAAAAAAGTAATGATTTATCAACATTTTATCATACCAAGTGGACTAATTTCATCAAGGCCCTCTGAATGAACCACCAATGCTCTTCGCATTCCAAATCTTTGCAATGCCAAGGCCATCTTCATTACCTATTACAAATATTTTACCATACAAGAAGGAATTTCTCTATTATATCTATCGAAAATTAAGACTAAATAATTAATAAATCAGATTCCAAACATGATAGTCTTTCAACACATGGTGTGCTTGCAAAGGAAACACAAAAAGAAAAAAAAAATACATAAATAAAATAACACCAGTTGGATCCAGTTATTTCATTCATTAAGTTCAATCACATCAAAAATATAAACTTGATAATTTTTATTGATTTTTAGCTTAATTTCTGACTTTAATTTCTATGCCTCACCAATTCATCTGGCACATTTGTTGGTGCAAGCCCTTGCCTTCTTCAACGGCTTTTTGTTCTAATCCAAACCAGATGCATTTTTTTTAAGGGAAATTTAAATACCTAGAATACAAATCTTATGTATTTACATATCCCACACCTAAACTTTCATATTTACATAAACTATGCATGAAAGGGTGTATTTCACTTGTAAAAAGTGGCAATAGTGATATTTTTGATGTGATATTAACGATTTAAGTGTTATGTGTGTAAATATGAAAATTTAAGTGTGAGATATGTAAATACATTAGAATTGCCTGCTATGTATGTAAATGCTTCTTCGTTTAACACACACAGCTATTGTTCCTACCTAACCATAACAATAATCAAAGAGTTTGATCTTTAAAGATTTGACTTTAAGCATGTTAGAAAAAAAGAATAATTTAAATTCCTGAAAAAGGTAAAACGGGACTTACTAAATCTTCATGATAGACGCCAACAACAGCAAAAGGAACTCGAGCAGGGTTCAGCATTGGACCGAGAATATTGAATACAGTCTTCACTTTAAGCTTCTTCCTTACAGAACTCACCAACTTCATTGCTGGGTGGTAATTGGAAGACATCATAAAACCAATTCCTACCTCTTCGACACATCTTTTAACTTCCTTTTTTCAAATGAAAAAAAAAAAAAAAAGATCATTCAGAACAACAAAATCAAATAATGAATGAGCTGTATGTAAAAATAAATAAATAAATAAATAAAGACATTTTTGAGTGTTAAAATCATGTACACAGTCCTGTATAATATTAGCATATGTATTGAGGATTAGTTTAAGTTTGATAAAATAAGCTTTCATCATTAAGGAGAATATAAATTATTATCTGTTATGAAAATTCAAGTCCTAAGAGTAAATAGCCATACTGGAAAAGCTTATAAAATAAAATCCACGGCTAAAAAGAATTAAGCTTTTAACCTGAGAATGAAATTCACATGTTAAAAACATTTAGAGAACTCTTTTTACTGACAATTCAACCTGCAGCATACAGGAAATAACTCAATTTCGATTAGGATGTTGGATTTGCTTTGAATGAGAGATATACACATTTTGATTGATTGATCTTAAACATAAGCGAAAAAAAAAAAAAAAAAAAAAACAGATTAGGCTAGAAGTAAAGCATGAAATTCTCTGCTCAGTCTGCTATAAGCCAACACAAAACACTTCTATCATTAAAATTTGAAGAAAAATAACTTCTCACATCCAAACACAGAAAAACCACATAAGATTTTCACTATTTTTAATCTAAAACCCTAACATTACCTCAGGGCCTAATTCGATGTTGACACCCAATGCCTCCAACACATCAGCACTTCCACACTGTGAAGAACTCGATCGATTCCCTTGCTGCATTAATAATTCATGAAATCAATAACCCAAAAAACAGCTTATTCATGAGAAATCCCTAACTCCGATAACTGCATCAAGCAGTAGTCTACCTTCGCCACTCGAGCACCAGCTGCTGCAGCCAAAATAGAAGCGCCAGTGGAGATATTGACAGTATTCGCTCCATCACCACCAGTTCCTACAATGTCAACAGTGTTCTCCAAGCCCTCAACCTTCCGGCAGCAATGGAACATTGCCCTAGCCAGACCCACAATCTGTAAAAATAGCGTAATGATATCCAATCCATTAACAAAGATACAGCACAACCAAACATCGAGAGATCACAAAACCAACAAAAGAGAAGAAAAAGTTGGATTACCTCCTCGAACGCCTCCCCTTTGGCTCTCAGGAGAACCAAAAAGGCACTGATGAGTGCCTCATTGCCCTCATCCAGAAGATAATTAAGAGAAAACTCAGCTTCTTCTTCAGACAGATCCTTACGGTCAATGAGATCCTCGATCAACTAATAAACCGCCGATTTAGGGTTTAAAAAAGAAGTGAACACGAGGGATTAAAGCGGAACATAATGAAAAGCGGGAGAGCATTTATACCTCCTTAAATGATACAGATGAGGTCACCTTCGTGGCAGGTGAAGGTAGAACTTGTAATTTTCGTTGATGGACACGAGTTGGAGAGCGGAGCACAGTTGCGAGGCGGCGTGGGGCCTTCAGCCGCACCGTTGGTTTAAATAGGTAAGAAGGAGCTAAAGATCCACAGACCGCCATTAATGTATGTACGCTGTTGCAGAGAATGAAAAGATAAGCCAATATCGCTATACAATTTGGATTAACAGGAAGAAGAAGATGAAGAATTTCGGCGTTTCCTGGATCTATAGCGAAGAAGATAGACTTTGATCCGTTAATGATTTCTTAATTTGGATCCGGAGGAGGGGCGATAGGGGTACACTGCAAAAGCCTGCAACAATTTTTGTATGATAAAAATAGTATCTTGTATGCTAATTTATGCGTATCTTCTATTATTTAGGATTTAAATCGATATTCATAAGATTTCTATATTTATTTATTTATATATCATTTTAATGTCTAAATCAAAATAGAACATATACATGAAAAATATTATTTTACTTTAAATAATTTAATATTGGATAGATTTACAATCCCTTGCACTAACATATTATTCACCTAAACTTTAATTTTTACATACTGATCGCCTAAGTCTAACTTAGGGTCTGTCTGGGGCAGCTACAACTTATTCAGCTTATTCTGATAATCTGCTGATGACCAGTTGATCCAGATAAGCTGAATGACTGTTTGGTTTGTGTGTTTGGAAAACAACTGATCTGGATAAATGACCAATCTGCCCCTATTCTGGATAAGTTGTTTAGTTGTTTGGTTTGTGCGTTTTGTAAACAACTAATTTGCAGGTTTTTTTTACACATTTATCAACTTTCTTAATGCAATCATAAATGAGAGATAAATGTGAAGATTGAAGAACATGAAATACAAAATATTCTTAAAATTAAAGGTTAAATATTAAGACATAAAAATACAAAATATTTATATCACTTAAATAATTCAGATCACATCACAGAAGCACAGTTACCTAAACAAAAGTGAAATACATCTTAACACACTAATATGCACTATAATGAGATCCAAAAAAGAAGAGAAAATAACAACAGCCATATAGTGCACAGAAAAAAACATTACAGTCAAACCCTATCTAAAATGTTTGCCCTTCACATAGCAGCAACCATATAGTGCACAGAAAATCATAAAAGATGGCTCACATATATTAAACTGCACAGAAAATGCTTGTCCATCCCTCAAATGTTCACATATATTAAACTGCAACTCATTGACTCAAGAACAAAACCATAGCTGAAACAAAATTCAAGCAGAAGTTTACAAACATAAAATGGTTCACTCCTCACATATATTAAACTGCAGGTAAAGCACAGTCCGGTAGTTTCATGGACTTTAACACCAAAAGACAGGATTAGTTCTTCTACCATCTCAAACAAAGCTCTTAGGCAATTACTAGATATTACAAACATTAATATAGTAAAAGGCATCCAAACCACAAGAGAACCAAGAATATATGCCAGAGGCATCTCTGTATCTTCAAAAAGAGAACTATCAGTATGACTTTCGCAACCCAGATGATCTATGCTATGTTTTTTTTTATGGTAGTCATATTAGTAGAGCTGAAAGGAACGCACCTTCGGCAATGAAACATGAAATCATATGCATACCATGTTTCAACGCAAGATAACATAGCATAGATTTACCTGTTTGCAACGAACTGTAATAACTGTGCAAAAAATTCCGTCGAGTTTCAACCTGCGCTTCTGCCTCGTAACATCAATGGAGATCAGCACAGGCGTCTCATTGGCCAAAGTCGCCTCCCTCGCCGTCCTGGCCGATAATCGAATCCCCATTGCAGAAGCCCTAGATCTAGAGAGCCCCGAGGCGAGCTTATCTAAGCCAAACTGCTCAAGCGTGGTCAAGTACTCGCCGTGGGTCACCGAAGCATCTCGCCGATAAACCACAGCACCTTCCCACGGCGACGTGGTTAGGTCATCCCCATCCGACTCCAATTAGTAGATTACTGCATCAAAATCAGTGATCTTAGTAGAAGATAACATGCAAGCGGCTGAAAGGCTCAGCGTCAGTGTCTGCTTGAGGGAATTTTGCGGGGAACGAAACAAGATCGAATGCGAAGGAGAAATGACAGAGGGCGAATGCGTAAGAGGCAAGGTTACGGGAGTAATATTTCGATCGAAAACGAGCCGTTTTCCGCATCTTTTACAAAATTCAAAACTCCGTTTTCGATAATTTGAGAATAAGTTCGAACCAAACAAGACGGTGTTGTTTTCAAAACGCCGCCCGCACTTATAAGCTGCCCCAAACGGGCCCTTATACTGAAAATATCATAATAGTATGATAGTATGTAAAAATTGAAGTTTGAATGATTAATATGTTAATAAAGTGAGATTGGTTGATAAGTATGTAAAGGTCCCTTAATGTTAAATTTACATGCGAAAATCTTATGGATTCAGGTATCTCGCACCTAAACTTTATATTTACATGTATAGCATTTTATGCATGCATGAAAAGATAAATTTGAAATTGTTGTCATTTGTGTCTTGATATGAAAGCATTGAGTGATATGTGCGAATATGGATTTGTGTGCTATGTATATAAATTTAATAAAAAAATTTAATATCTAATTTTATATTTATGTATACAACAATTCATTCTTTAAGCACTTAACATGCATATCACCCAATTCTCATGCATTTACATATCCATCACATAAATTTTATTCTTCACATTTATACCACCCAAAATTTTCATATTACATAAGAAGGGAGTATTATGTATGTAAGAAAAATACTCATTTTCAGGGGGAAAAAACTGATTAAAATTGGAGTTGGATTTAATTAAATTTTTAGAGTGATGTCAAAATTACTTGATTAAGGAATTAATACTTTATATTTGCATCAAAATAATTCAAGAAATTAATTTGGAAAAATATTGACAGCTAAATCAATTGTCAAAACAGTGCAAACAAAATTTATAAAGTTTGTTTCCAATAATTTCTTAAAGAAATGCCTTTTACTTTTTATTTATTTATTTATTTATAGATCAAATCTCTATAAACTCTTATAAAATATGTGAGATGTATTTGGAATATCACCAAGTTCCTAAGTTAACAAAATATAATACCAATATATAAATATTACGGTAATAATAGCATTTGAACAAATTAAAAAAATGGAGCGACATATGAAATAATATTGACTAGTAATTTAAAACTATTTCAAAAAATTGAGATAATTTATCTGAACCAACATATAATTTAACAAGTGAACCCTATACATATAAAAACAAAAAAAAATCAAATAACATTGCCAAAAAAGGGAAATAAAAAAAATATTATGGGACCCACCAATTAGGTGCAAATTCGGAACAGACAGAGATCTTACTTTATGTTAATATAAATGACGATGGGACCCACCAATTAGGTTCAATTAATGAGAGGTCAAGTCAAGCAAAAATCTCAGATATACTCAGTTCGTCTTTTTTATTTTAATTATTATTAAAAATGCCGAATAACAAAAAAACAACATTGCAAAGCAGAAAAATAAATTTATGAATTTGAGAGCAGGGGCCGTAAATGCTTCGCTCGAACGCTGGATCGAGTGATTATACCCGTGATTCGCATCTAATAGAAATAATAGAACGCTGTAAATCGGTGTTTTGGCATACACAAGTAAAATGTGCGAACCAAACATAAAGGAGTTTTCAAAAACGCCGCCGCAGTTTTAAGCTGCCACAAACGGGCCCTAAGTTAATATAAACGACGATGGGACAGAGATTAAGCAAAAATCTCAAATATACCCCGTTCGTCTTTTTTATTTTAATTATTATTAAAAATGCTGAATAACAAAAAAACAACATTCCAAAGCAGAAAAATAAAATTATGAAAAAAAAAATTTTTTCAAAGAAACCCTTCATCAAGTATTCCATACCTAAAAAAAGAAAATTCTATTGATCATAACATCTATAATATTAAAATTTAACTCAGAATATCCAAACTCAATTTTTGCCACATTATTATTACATAACTGTATATGATGAAATAACTTGATATGATCTGAATGCATTAATAATTAGCAGAACGAATTCATGTCGATTTCTGCTAAATTATGCTATGCTCTTAAATATATATATATATATATATATATATATATATATATGCTAAAGCTTAGGAAAATAATTGAGTTCCTTTGGAGCTTATGCAGCAGCAGTAATACATTCGATTGCCTGCTTGCAGATACCAGTCATAGTCGCCTCAGGTCCATACACCTACACGGTATTAAAGCTTAGATTTTAGCTTATATATTGGATAAATAAATTTGGCACACACGAAGTAGTGGCAACTATTAAAGTATTGAAGTAGATGCCTGGCTAAAATAGTTCAGGGAAGGGGGGCGCCTAATTTAGCGGCCTATTGGTAAAAAGAGAATATTGAAAAAATATAGGAGTTTATTTGTAAAATATTGTAATGCCCATATTTAGGCCCTTGTTATGAATGCACAAAGTAAATTTTCAGCAATTATTTCTTCTTAGTATCAGAACCCTAACACTAGCAGTAGTCCCGACGGTCATTGGTGTTGTTCGATCATCAGGATTGGCGTGCAGTCCTCACAAAGCAGTCGCAATGAGAGATAATTGGGATGGCAACGAGGGGATCCCGGTGTTACAAATGCGATTGGAGCTAGCTGGGATGACAATCCCCACGATACAATTGCACTAACTGGGAAGCCAACTACTGGATCGCGGGATCGCGGGATCGCACGACATTACAATCGATTAGAGCTAACTGGGACGACAACCCTTGTGACAGTCATGCTAACTGGGAAGACATGGGATCACAATGATGATCACGATACGGGATCTTGTTGTATATCCAACACCAGTGAGAAACGGGATCAAATTGATGATCGTAGCGTATAGACTACGGCTTTCAGAAACCATGATGAGATTACAATATATAGATCGCGGCTTCCAGAGACCATGACGTGATCGCATTGTACAAATTGCAACTCCCATAAACCACAACATGATCACCACGTACAGAGGCGAAGGCGAAACATCAAATTTGTGTGTGATCTAGACTTGGATTCTTGTGTTCAAAGATGTCAGGAGACGGAGATAGTGCAGGAGGAAAAGGATTATAGCATCTGGAAAGCTAGATTAGAAAGTTCTGAAGGTCTTGATCGAGCTCATACAGGGAGCAGATGTCTCAACGGAAGCCACTATCTCAGCACGTGCTTCAACGCAGGTGCCAGATATCTCTCTTATGGATATTGATTTGAAGATTGATGTATCGGCCACATATCTGAGTTGGTCGTGTCGGGTCAAGGCTGCTCTAGTAGGGAAGAGACTAGAGGGATATCTGACCGGAAAAGAACCAAAGGGTGACTGTGGTGAAAGGGATAAGTGGAGAACCACACATGCCTTAATCAACACCTGACCACTCAACTCGATGGTTTCGTCAATTGCATCCTCAATAGATAACATTTGAAAGGTGAGGGACATATGAACAAAGCTGAAGAAGATTTATGCTGGGATGAAGAACCACATGAAGATGTTCTAGATTTAACGTGAGATAGAAGCAATGGTACAAGGTGATGGATGGATTCATGAATAAGTGATAGATTTAAAACGGTTGTGGGCAGATCTTGATCACATCTCACTGATATCGAGCTTTGGAGATCCAGAGTACAAGAAAGGGAAGATCTTTACATAGAAAATGACCATGAAGTTTATGGCTCATATGAACTCCGTCTTTAATTGGAGGAGATCAGTCTTCCCAACTCAGGCAACTATCCCTTACCTAGAAGAGAACATTGCTGCAATGATACAGAGGGTGAGTTGCATGAAGCTACAGTCTGAGCCGAGTTGACTTCAAGGTGCCAGATCAGCGTTGGCTACCTTAAGCTCGGATATGATATGTGTCTAGGAGGAAACTAGCAAGTGCTACAACTGTGGTGAAGTCAAAACCATTTGAGCAAGACTTGTCCTAAGCTGTTTAAGGAGATAGAGATTGGCGAACCTAGACATGGTGGAGGTCGTGGTCGTGACAGTGGTGGTCGAAAAGGCGAAAAAGAGAGCTACTGACAAATTTGATGGTAGCAGAGGAGGGAGAGACAAGTATGGTTTTTACCAATGAGAATCATGAGTTTCTGGAATTGTTGAAGAGAAAGCAGAAAACAACAAGAGATGGAGCTGATCATGTTTCCAACCAATCGTAATCAAAGGTTAACATTGCCACTTACGTTCACTTTGACAAATGTACTTGTGACATACTCTTATCTCTATATCCACCACAAGATCATCAGAATGGATAGTAGATTTTGGTGTATCTTCATATATGACATTTACTACTAGAGATTTTTCTTCCTATAACCCCCTAACAGTACCAAAGTGCATCCAGATTATTGATGGCGACACAACCTGTAATTGGTAAGAGCACAGAGAAGAGTACCAATTATATGACTTTTTCCATTGTTTTGCATGCTCAATATTTTCCAGCGAATACTTTATTCATTAGTGTTATTATTCCCCAACTAAAATGTGTTATTTCACTTGATATTCCTAAAATGATCTTCTAAGAGAAATGGACGAGTTAAATACTTGGGGATTGGAACATGGCATAGTGAACTCAGATACCTTGACCGAGAGAGGATGAACTCAGCTTTGACATACATGGCAGAGAGTGCTGGAGTTGGAGAATCTTGGAGAAGTATGAAGAATGTGTTGTTGCTACATCACAGACGTAAGAGACACTCTTGTTTTAGTTTATTGAGTCGGTTGTATCCTTCTTTATATAAAAAGTCAAATAAACAAAAACTTGTTTTTGATGCTTGTGAGAATACGAGTTCAGGTATTTTTTATGTCAATTATGAGAATAAGACTTCGGTTATTTTTTACTTTGTACATTCTGATCTTCATGGACCTTATCTACAAGCTCTATGAATGATTATCGATATTTTGTAACCTTTATTGATTACTTTTCTTGTGTTATTTAGTTATATTTGATGAAAAATAAGAGTGATGTGTTTGTTTGCTGTAAAGACTTTTATAAGACATTCCAGACTCAATATGATCCAATAGCGAAGGTATTGAAGTCTAATAATGAGACATAGTATACTAACAAAACATTTGAGGAATACTTGTCAGCCTAAAGGATACAACTACATGTCCATACACACCAGCAAAATAAAATGGCAGAGAGGAATAATAGACACTTTCTAGAAGTAAACCAAATATTTATGGAAGCAAGCAGTTTTGATAGCTACTCTTGAGGTAACCCGAAACATGGATCAATAGGATGCCCTCGAGAATGTTGGATTGCAAGTTTTCTTATCAAATGTTGAAGGAAGATAATAGTGGAATCATTCCATTAAAAATATTTGGATGTGTATGTTTTGTGAAGTATATCAGACCATCAGTAAGGAAGTTGAATCCCAGAGCTGTAAAATGTGTGTTCGTAGGTTATTCTGCTTCCTAGACGGGGTATGTCTACTGGAGCTTGATAGAAAAGAAACTCTGACCATAGATGTCATTTAGAGAATTTGAACCATACTACACCCAAGAGGTGACCTCACCCTTCAATGACTCGCCAGATACTGTAGATATGAGGCAAGGGGGTGAGTTGAAATGGTGATAGCACACGTGTGAGCAATGCCTTGTTTTATGAAGTGAGATGAATCATTTGACGAACCGAAAAATGAAGAGAGTGAACCCATATGTGGTGGCATTCAGGCTGAAGGTGAGTTAAGGATGAGTGCACGAAGAAGGAAGCAAAATGAAGGAACGGTACCTACAGTGCCACTTGCGCCAAATAATCCCCTGTCCTCGTCTTCCCAGACTCTTAAGACATCTACACCATCTATGTCCGAGTTAGAACTCCTATGTCAAATGATTTCTCCTCCTCCTAAACCACTTAACTTTAAGGAAGACCCCTGTTGACCTCATTTTTAGTGAGGTCTAGTCTTTCTCTTAGGATTTAGGATCTAGCCTTAGGGATCTCCCTTCGACTATCTTAGAACCTTAGAAATGGGACCCGCCTCGTTCTAGAAATTCAACCTACTTCTGTCCCCTTTTGGAGTTTCGCGTGTGTGGTATCGACTTCTAGCACTTAGAAGAGTGAAACCAACATGAGGAAACCCAAAAGGGATCCCTATAGGACCTTCCTAAGCCTTAGGGTGGTCTTTTGCACAATTCGCAATCCCGCGCACAAACTTCGCAATTCAGAGAGTCGACACGTCCGATCTCCACGATTCACATCGTTTGCACTGTTACCTGTCGAATGCTCGAGTAAAACTTTTGAAACGATCGATCGCGGGTCGAAATCTTGTAAAATTTAAATTTTAACGCGTTTTTTGACACAATTGTCGGCGACGTCGTCCGAGCGACCCCGGATGACAAAATAGACTGCACCGGCACGTCCGGAACGTCGATTTTGCCTATGGACGACACCCATTTTGTTACGTCACCGCGCGCGAGTAAATCGTATTTTATTTAATATATATATATATATATACATATATTTATATATATATATGTATATATATATTAATTAAACTTTTTTTTACCCCTTCCCCCTTTCCTCTTTTAACGTTAAAATCTCTAGCTCTCTCTGCCTCCTTTCCCTCTCCCGTTCGCGTGTCTGGCTCTTTCCCGTTCTCGGTCTTGAGCCGAGCAAGCTCCACCTCCTCCACGCGAGA